GAAGAATATGATCAAATTAATTTTTAAGAGATCTATATTTTAAAAATTAACACCCTTCAAAGCTACTTGGTAATCTGAACATATAAACAACACTACTTCCTATGCTACAGAATTGCACACTGAGCACGGCAGACAACTCATAGACACCAGGATATACTCCAGTGCCACGAGGAGGATGCCCATCACACAGCACATGGGTGTTCCTTCTCTGTTGTTGCTCATCTTCAGCCTATTCATGTACAAACAGAAGCAGGGTCAGAAGGCTGCCTGTTGGTATCAGAAGAGCAGGCAAGGGAGGCCAACCCACACCCCTCTGCTTTCAAGTCACTGTTATACTCTTCCCTGAAAGCAAACCATGGCAGTGCCAACAGACTTACGAGAATGCTGTTTAGTTTACAGGCTTTGTTTTCATCTTTCTATTTCTCTCTTCCGAAAAGCAGAAGAGGAATTTAAAAATGGCTTCATCCTGGAAGCCAATCTCCAGAATGCTAGGCACTCCATGGACAAAGTCAACTTAGACCAGTGAAGACACGAGACCAAGCTCTTCTGGAAGAGTTGTATCACCTCTTCACTACTTTACTCCTTCTGGAGCTCTGGCTCCAGCTGAGCTCCTCTAAAATACACCAGCCACAAGGGTAACAGCAAATCTTATTTTTAACCCAAATCCCTCTTCCTGGCTCACCCTGACCTTGACTCCCCAAAATTCAGCAACTTTTTAGTCACTCATCATGCTGCTTTCTTCTCTTTCCTTAACTGACCTCCCCTGCCCCATGGTCATCCTGGACTTAGAGCCTTACTCTCAGACTCTCCTTTCTTTCTCCATCACCATTGAGTGTTTCCAACAGAAATAACATTAAGTAAAAGCCCATCCCACGCCCAATCTGTAAAAAGAAACTCAGAACTACATCATTCTTCTCAAAGTCATGTGAGATTTTCCAAATACATATACCAAGGCCTTACTCCACATGTCTCCTACCCACCATGAGGGGCTGTCCACATTTCTGGGGGGTGGGGTGGGGGAGGAAGTCATAAGAAAAGACATTCTTCCTCTCTTCAAAGTGTGGAAAGAGCCAGACCCAGACTCGAATGGGAGCAGACACAGCCTCTGCACCATGATGCCAGGCTCAGAGCCCAGGGCAGGGACAGCAAGTGGGGCCATCTAGTGCAAAGGTCTGTCAAAGGACTCCATCAGCAACAACAAGCCCCATATGAAGGTTTTTTGTTTTTGTGGGGTTTTTTGAGTTGGAGTCTCACTCTGTCACCCAAGCTGGAGTGCAGTGGCACACTCATGGTCACCACAGCCTCAACATACTGGGCTCAGGCAATTCCTCTGCTTCGGTCTCCCAAGTAGCTAGCACTACAGGCATGCGCCATCACGCCTGGTTAACTTTTTGATTTATTGTAGAGACAAGGTCTTGCCAAGTTGCCTAGACTGGTCTCAAACCCCCAGATTCAGGCAATCCTCTCGCCTGGGCCTCCCAAAGTGATGAAGTGATGATATTACAGGTGTGAGCCACCACACCTAGCCTATTTGAAGGTTTTAATTAATAAACTTTGAGTTTCTATTATCCTCAGGTATCAAGATAATGATCTGTTGAGCATCACATGGTCTTAACAGTGCTCTGGGGAACTAAGGACAGTCCTGTGGCCACCGTTCGGACAGAGTCATCTGAAAGTAGAGACATCTCTGAGAAGCCAGTTAAAGACACACACAAGGTGCTAGACAGAGGCTGGATAGAACAGCCTCCAGAAAAGAATCTGACTGCCTTAAGGCTCCACAACTGTGAGAGGCAGAGACCAGTACAAAAATCACAGGGTCATCAGCCTCAATTCATACATACTCGTGGTCCAACCAGAAGTACCAACCATGAAGCAGGGGCTCAGTAAACCTTCCCGTCTCTTGAAAAATTCCATCACACCTCTTGGGGGAACACAGAAGGGAAAAAAAAGAGAAAGGGAAAGCAGGTGACAGAGCAGGTAAAAGACATATATCATGTCATCCATTTGGGCAAGATGGTGAAATGAGATCTGGAAGAGAATGCCGTTGAATGGATTGGAATGTGGCTGAGAATTGACAGGGAGCTCAGCACATCATGTGTTCACCCTCAAGACATGGCATGGTATCTGGCACAAAGCAGAAACCAAAAGATCTCTGCAGAACAGGAGACCTGTTAAAGAGGTCCTGAAGTCTACTCTTGACCTCTTTACCCTCAGTTCCTTCAACAACAGCTGAGACAAAAGCAAGGGACAAATCCAGGATCAGAATGGACTTGACAAATAATGCGAGTCACAACCACTGATAATAGCCAACACAAACAAATGTCAGGCCCCATGTTTAAGAAAATAAATAAAACCAAGATGGGGTACAAGAAGAGAGGAAACATGACAAGGTCATGCAAAAAGACAGATAAGGTGTGCTCTTATGTGAGTCCAATTCAAAAAGAGAACAGAAAAGAATTCCAACTGCCCTCATCAGTACTCTGCCTGTCCAATCCTGCCCCTGTGGCCACAAAGAGGAAGGACATCTTAGATCCTAAAGACAAAAATCCACAGCTGCTTCACTAGCAATTCATATGTGGATCTTGAGGGGACTTGGAGGACTTTCAACCCATCCTGAACACATCTGCTTGCACAGAGAGCCCCAGCTCTTCCTAGCATAGCTTCAGACCAGAGCGCAGCAGGCCAGAGCAAAAGTGCTCTCCCCTGACTGCAGAGTCAGCCCCTGTCCCAGGTTTGGGATAAGAAGCTAAAGCACTGCATACACTCCATCCCAACTTCCCTTCACGCCTCTTCACTTTCCGCCCCAAAGACCTTCCTCCAGCTATGCTACTCAGTCTCTCTTTTCTCTTGCAAATCTCACTGCCCTCCTTTTAAATGAGGCAGGAGGATCACTTAAGGCCAGGAACTCAAGGATAGCCTGGGCAACATAGTGAGAATCTGTCTCTAAAAAATAACAATAAACAATTTTGTGGCTATCACTGTGTTCTCAGCCAGGGATTTGGCAAAGTATAGCTGGCATGCCAAATCTGGCCCACCGCGTATTTCTGTAAATAAAGTTTTACTGGTTTACATATCGCCTATGGCTGTTTACAGACAATAGCAGAGTTGAGTAGTTTCAACAGAGACCACAGACCACATCACCCACAAAGACTAGAATATCTACTATCTGGTTCTTTACAGAAAAAGTGTATTGACTCCTTCTTTAAACTAATCAGAATTCAACCTGAGAATCATGTTCTCAGGATGAATCTGAGAGATAGATTCTGTCAAATTAAAGTGTTGCTTTGGGAAGATGGTTGGAATGGTAAGAAGTCTAGAGAGCATCACTTATCAGGCCTATCATAGGAATTGGAGATATACAGATTAGAAGAAGGCTCAGAAGGACCTGAGAGCTCTCTGCAAATACCTGGAGGATGATCATATGTGAAAATCAATCTGTTTATTTTTATTGCAAAGGACAGGAACTATCTTCTTTACCATCATAATAGCTCATTATGGCAAGAATACAATGAATTATCTGTTGAATCAATGGACAACAAAATTAAGGAGATATTCCAGTAGGCAAAAGGAGGAACACTATTTTTTATTCCATTTGGGGGAGAGCCCTAACAATCAGAAATATCCAAAGCAGAACTGGATTCATCATGAAGCCCATGAGCAGCTCCAGTCAGCATAGGCCAAAGTAACTGACAGACATGACCATATAAAAAAGGTGCTGATGGCCGAGCATGGTGGCTGATACCTGTAATCCCAGCACTTTGGGAGGCCAAAATGTGAGTATTACTTGCGCCCAGGAGTTGGAGACCAGCCTGGGCAACACAGCATGACCTTGTCTCTATCAAAAAATCAAAAAATTAGCCTGGTATGGTGGTATGCACCTATAGCTACTTGGGGAAGCTGAGGTATAATGATGCCCTGAACCCATAATGTCGAGGCTGTGGTGAGTCATGATTGTGCCACTGCACTCCAGCCTAAGTGATAGAGCAAGACCTCAACTCAAAAAAAAAAACAAAGATGCTAAAGAATCAGTTTATTATGCTCTGGTGGGAAAATGGCCCAGATGACGTCTTAGTTCTTTTCCTATCTAGAAGCCTATACCTTTACTAACTCTAGATTTGAACTCCAGAAAAGTGCCATACGTTCCTTATCTAAAACAGTAACCCAAAACACAATATCTTCTTCTGCTAAAAATAAAGTAAAAAAAGTATTAGACTTTGCCTAATACTGGGCATTATACTTGTGTATACTTGTTATTAGATTTGTAACTTTTATTTTTAATATGTATTATCTTGTATTTTTTTTTTTTGAGTTGGAGTCTCATTCTGTCACCCAGATTGGAGCAATGGCCACTCCTGGCCACTGCAGCCTCAACCTGCTGGGTTCTGGTGATCCTTCCGCCTCAGCCTTCCAAGTAGCTGGAACTACAGGCACGGGCTACCACACCTGGCTGATTTTTTTTTTTTTTTTGATTCATTGCAGAGATGAGGTCTCACCAAGTTGCCCATGCAGGTCTCGAAGCCACAGACTCAGGCAATCCACTCATCTCAGCCTCCCAAAGCACTGGGATTACAGGCTGAGACACTGAGCCCGGCTATATTACCCTGTATTAATATGGCAGAATAAAAATTTACCACCAAATGCATAGCTATATGTATAAACATTTACTCCAGATTCATTGACTTTTGATAACTTAAATAAATCTCATAAATAAAATTGATTAGGTCTTTCAAGTGTTTTGATGATACACCATACCAATGAGGTCAAAGGTGGTTTCTGACTCCTACTGATAAAAGATTTAAGAATGTGAGCCCCAAAGCAAAGCACCACTACTTTTGTTATAATCTGATTATAATAAGTACCCAGGCACAGGGCAGAGTTTTAGTCATCTTTGAGCCACCAGCACCAAGCACATTGTCTGCCATGTAGAGTAGGTGCTCAGACCACACATGATTAACTGGCATAAAGCCACTTGTGAGTTCCAGCAACAGGACTTCCCTTACCTCTGTTGAAGTCTTTTGGATCCAGGGACAGACTATAGCCAGGAAGTGTCTCCAGGAGGAGTTTATAGCAGGCTCTCCACCCAGGCTCCACGATGCTGGGGGCCACGCACTGCATAGCAGCCACGCGCTTGAAGAACGCCGATTTCCGGTGGAAGCCAATCAGCTCATAGAGCTCGGAGAGGATGCTGTATCGCTGAATCTTTTCTTCCTCAGAAAGCTGAAGCACAGAAAGTAAAAAGCCTTTGAAAGAAACTTATATAGTGAAAAAAGAAACACACTTTTCAAAAAATTTCTTCATAAAACAAAGACCTGACGAAACATCAAGGAGAAGAAAAGCCTCGCAACCAGTCTTGTGACACACAAGACCCAGACATGTGCCAAGCGGCTCCAAGCCCTTTCCAAGCCCATCACTGCAAGCGCATCCTGTCCATCTGCTAATAAGGCCCAGATTCTCTGGAACAAAGTATTTGCTACACATCACATGAGACATCTACTTTATATTCCTTTCCAAAAGAAAAGAAAAGGAAGAAGAGTTCATCCAGACAATAGGATTTTGGCAAAGACTTTCATCAAACACAAAAATTCTTAAAACACAAGAATCTATGAAACCATGTAATAGGTAATGAATTGTTAATGATAGCAGCATCTAAATTAGACTTAAGACTTCATAGCTTAGAAAAAGTTTTCTCTCATCCAGGACTTAATTGAATCCTCCCAACAACACTGTGATGTAGTAATAACAACTACTGTTTCTTAAGGATCTACTCTATGGCAATAAACTTCATATTCCTTATTTAATCAATACAACTATCCCAAGAGCTCATAGATAAGGATATTAGAAGCTCAGGGAGGTATTAATAACCCCGCAAAATCACAGAACCAGGAAGTGTCAGAGACAGGCCCTGACTCTGGGCCTGGGCCGTACTTACCACACAGGGTTCACCAACTGTACCACAGTTGTCTTCAGAACAAAAAGAAGGCAGAGCCCACCTGCCGCTCAAGCCACACTGCATGAGGAAACACTTCTCTCCCTCCTCTGCCCTGGACAATAAATATGTTTCCCAGACATTCTGTGAGTACAGAACCTGGTTTGAATGCCCGTCCCACATGTGTCCTTTGACCCCTCCCTCCATTCCCTGCCCTCCCCACTTGCTGCCATGGCCCTCGCTTGGACTCTCACTCGTTTGCATCTAGAAGACTAACCTGAGTCATCTTTCTACCACCTTTCTCTATCCACCTTAATCAATACACCTACCCCTGCCAAACTAACATTCCTGAAGAACAGACAGAGTCCATCATGCTCGCTATGATCTTAATGTTTGTGTCCCCGTTTATTGAAACCCTAACCCCTAGGGTGATGATGTCAGAAGGTGGGGTTCTTTGGGAGGTGATCAGATCATGAAAGTGAAGCCCTCATTAATGGGTTAGCACTCTTATAAAAGGGACCCCAGAGAGACTACCTCACTCACTCTTTCCACCAAGTGAGAACATAGCAAAAAGATGGCTGACTAGGAACCAGGAAGTGAGCCTATACCAGCACCAAGTCTACCGGCACCCTAATCTTGGACTTCCGGCCTCCAGAACCGTGAGCAATAAATCTCTTGTTGTTTATAAGCCACCAGTCTGTGGTACTTTGTTATAGCAGCTTGACTAGACCAAGACAATCCCCATCCCAAAACCACTAGTGCTGTAAAATGACACCCAAATACCTTCGTGGGCACACCAGGTCCTTTCAAGTTAGCCCCAACCTGCCCTTGTAACTTTAGGTCCGGCTGCCTACCTATGATCCAGCCAAACTGAACAACTTTAATTCATTTGTTTTCTCATTCTTTCAACATACATTTAGCGAATGCCTTCTCTGTACCAGTCACTTTTGTAGCAGGGGATACAGCAGTGAATAAAACAGGCAAAGAACCCTGTCCTCAAGGGGCCTCCATGCTGGTGACAGGCTGGTCCCCTGGCTTAGAATCAGAGAGGAGGATGACAATAAATCAGTGAACAAAGAAATAAAATAATGCTCTAGGTGCAGTGAAATGTACTCTGACATAGACATAATGGTAGAAAGGACAGACTCTGCTTCAGACGGGATGATGGGGACTCCACCAGGTGAAGATATTACAGGGTAATTGGGCTCTGGTCCTCCTCTCCCCCTCCACATCCATGTCCTCCACTTCCTTCAAAAAGTTGATTCCAACGCCACCCTCTCAAAGAAGCCATTCTTCCTGCCCTTCATCTGTAAGCCTGAAGCTGCAGCTTCTTTCCTTAAATTCTCATCACCACTCTAGACCCCATGTCATTTCTCTCTGCATCTCCCATATTACTCCTGTGCGTCTCTGCCGCCCTCCCCCTCCCACCAGGATGGCCAGACCTTTCCTAAAAGGAAAGGCCATTTCACATTCCCACCAAGGAAGTGTGAGAATTGCCATTGCTCCACCAGCCACCAACAGTTGAGGCTTTCGGTCTTCTTTTAATTTTAGCTATTCTGGTGGCTTTAACTTGCATCTCCCTGATAATTAATAGTGTTTGGACATTTTTTTCATAAGATTACCAGTCACTTATATATCTTCTTTTGTGAAGTATTTGTTCAAATCTTCTGCCAGTTTTTAAAATTAGGTCATTTGCTTTATTATTGAGTCGTAGGAGTTTTTTATATATTCCGAGTGTAAGCCCTTAGTCATATATGTTTTGTAAATATTTTCTCCCAGTCTCTTGCTAATTTGTTTTCCTAAGGGAATCTTAATGAGCAGAAACATTTCACTGTGACATACCTCAATTTATCAGTTTTTTTTCTTTTACAGTTAGTGTTTTCCAAGTCCTTATCTAAGAAACCTCTGCCCCAGTCACAGAGATATTCGCCGATGTTTTCTTCTAGAGGCTTATTGTCTGGGTCCGTGATTCACGGATATTCATATTTGAGTGGGACACAGCCTCTGCTTTCCAGGAGCCCACAGTACAACTGCAGAAGATCCCAGGGCTGGGGGACAACAGCTGGGGCAGGGAGGTAAGGAGGTCAACAAAGGAGAGGCAGGAGGACATAACGCCTCTATCACAAACCTGGAAACTCCCAGATCTTCAAGTGCACTCCGTGTGCCAAGCAGGATAAAAAATGTGGGAAGATAAATCGAACAGTGATATTAGCCAGTGCCCTCAAAGAGATCACCATCTAAATAAAAAGGATGGCCTGGGAAGGTCACAAGCCTTGGCTACCAGGCCACCAGAGCTCCCACTGATTCCTTCAAGAACCTATCTAAGATGAAAGGTTGTAGCAATCTGATCAGTAATGTATTATTTCATTCTTCTTATCATTTGAATATAACAAATCAAATGATAGACACTATATTACAAATGGAACTGAAATCACTTCAAGCCTAAACAGGATCCTTGATGGGAAAAGCTTGGGCACAACTGTTTTTGAGGACTAGGTAGACACTTGATTTAAAAGTGGTAGACTCGGGGAACCTCAGAACAAAGCCATGTTATGTAGATACAGACACCTACTATGGCACAAGCATCTGGGGAAGATAAGATGGTCCTGGGCAAAATGCTAGGCCACGGTCCTCATGAAATTAAGTCCCCAAACTTATATCCGACCTGCTGCTCTTTTAGGGAGTACTAATCAGCACATCTTTGTTCTAATTTTTCAAGAGACTGCATAGTCACGAAGTCTGAGTTCAGGGCCCAGATGTTTATAGGAATTTCCAATGGAAGTGGCTCAAATACTACTCAAGACAAGTAGCTTTACTCACAAGACAGACTCTGGGGAATCCAAATATTAATTCGCCACTCCATTTCCAATTTGAAAGTAAGCACAGAGTTTACTTATTCTACTAATTCTACTTTCTTATTCTACTAATAAGAAATTAGTAACATTGGTGGGAAAGTCAAGACACAGGATTTGTCTCAGGCAGGATGATATAGGGAGGAACACAGAGTAGAGTCAGAAACCCCCAAGTTCCAGTGTCAAATCTGCACAACACTACAAAATAGGGATAATTAAATCTAATTATAATTGCTAGAAAAACTAAATGAAATAATGTGGACACTTAGCATAAGCCTAAAATTCAGTGAGTGCTCAAGAAACAGGAAATATCATTGTTAATATCGCTGGAATTACAGATTCTAACCCCAAATTAACCAGCAAGAAATACTCTAGAAAATTCCTCAACCTTCATCAGCCTTCTCAATCAGCCATGAACATTCACAGGGACCTGAAGAACAAGGCAGTGGCAGATGCTTTGGGACAGCCCAGCAATAGCACTCAAGTAATGGCTGTGGAAGAAAACAGAATGGAAAACAGCAAAGACTATACATTCCTAAGTATGGAAAAGCCCATTCTGCTTGTCTCAAAATTATTTCTAGCCATAATTATATGGAGAGAAAACATATATTTAAGAGTACACAAAATTCCATATATGTCTGTCAAAAATGTTTGGAAAAAATGTAACTTTCTTTCCTATATCCCAGAGCATGGGTAACAAGGTATGCACCAAAGACTTTTCTTTAAAAATCATCTGCCTATCCAGGTGCAGTGGTTCACACTTATAATTCTCGTACTTTAGGAGGCCAAGGTGGGAGGATCTCTTGAGGCCAGGAGTTTAAGACAGCCTGGAAAATACAGTACGACATCATCTCTGCAATAATAATAACAATAATAATAATAATAAAAACATCTGCCAAAAGTAATTAGACTCATTTTAAGCTTTAGTCATACAAGAGCAAGAATGAAAATAAAACAAAGTTAAATAAGACCTGGCCCCTCAAAAGTTCATGAGGTAGTGGAGAAGACAGACAAGCCAGTAAGAAATCACTCTGCTAGAAAGGAGATGGATGGAGAAATGAATGACACAGGGATGCTGTGCTCCACATTCTTGGACAGGTACCTAAAAGGTTCCTAGACTACAGGGTGTTCCCACCATGTGCTAGAGGGAGGATATTTTATAAACAGTCAATACCCTTGGTGAGCATTCCACCCAAAAGAGGTAGCTTAGCAAAGTTGACGATTGACTCCTGATCATCCTAGTTCCCATTGATTCATTTTTGGATAACCTTAAAAACCAGTTCCTTTGGCTTCAAAAAAATACTGCCTACTTTTACTATCTTTGGGCTTAGTGAGCAAGCAGTTTATATGAACTTCAATGATAACATGAACTCTACAGCCTTTCTCCATATTCACCTTTCCATACCAAAGAGTCCTGATCTTTAAGTATGTCCCCCATC